GATTTTCCAATGCCAGAAAACACGGAAAAATACTCTCGCAGAATTCGAACCATCATCCGAACTTCGGATCAGTCATGGCAAGAGCACCGGCTCCAGTCGGCGCCATAGGATTTTGGGCCAATTTCTTCTGTATCCGATAAGACTTCCAGAATCACTATTCTGCCGCGATGGGGAATCACATGGGCTCTGCCTGCGTATAAAGGCTCCTGCGTTTTTTTTCCTCCATCATCACAACGAAAGGGGCCTGTCGCCATGCGGCGCCAAATTTTTTTCTCTCTCGGGGATAATCTTAATGCCGGAGGAACATGTCATAAAGTGTTCCTAGGCTATTATCTCATTATCGCGCGTTCTGGTGTCAACGAAGGGAGATGGCGACGAAACCGCTCGGAACGGTCAAACTGTTTTGATTGACGGCTCAATGCACGCAGCGCTCAAGCATAAACTTGATTGGGAGATCATGCGCTCTGCAGCTCAAATCCTGAGACGAGACGAATTCCTAACACTAGGTGGTCGAATTCGTCAGGGACACCAATCGAATGCATTCAGATCTCACGTCTTCGTCGAGTAGATCCATGTCGGAGCCTTATCTCCCTGGGATCACCTGCTTCTACGGATCATCGGATGTCTGTTATTACTGGCCTAGAAGAAGAGATCAGATCTCAAAAATGCTTCGCACGGATGTTCTGAAATCTTATGGAGTCATCACAGAATTAATGATTACGGCCTTGACCACCGTGGTCGCACTAACACTTTCGCTGGAGACAATGGGATGCTTTGACGAAAGGGTGTTCAACTAATTGAGTACGGTACAAAGCACCGCGGGACAATGGTATCCAGCCACTTCGATCACAATGCGAGTGGAAATACAGAAGAAAAATCCTCCCGGCCCTCCGAATTGCAGGGGCGGACTACGTAAGACGATAATTTCTTGGATGGAAACCTCTCAATCGTCGCACGCAGTTGGTTGAAGTACAAAAAGTAGGGGTACATGCACCGAACACTTCGCCGACGCCAATGCAGAAACTACCGAAACTAGTTGAATAGCGAGCTGTTAGATGCAGGGGTACACCCCATTTGACAGCTCACATTTTGCGAAATGGGAAGCGAATTCCGAATATGAAAAAAGAGACGAATATTCTAAACCCGAACGCAAGTGCCGACGCCCCGACGAGCGCACAGTCGTAAAGCATCGCCAGTGCTCGCCCTTTTTTCACAAGTCGCGTTTCGATGTTCTCGGAGATCCCGCTATTCCCAAGCCCAAGAGTATAACTCTTCAGAACTGTCAGAAATGTAGGTCGCGTCATCCTGTGACAGGCATCCAGAAGTGTACGTGGGTTGTAGTGATACAATACGTAACCGTCGCATTGACGTAGTAGAATGATTCCTCGTGCCATTCTCGGATTCCACCTGATCTCGTGCATTTCCCGAACCAGAGGGCATTGTACCGATCAAGGACGACAGGTTCATCCAGACGGACACTGCCCGCAGTATTCAGCGGCACACGATAAACAAACAGTATTCTGGTATTTCGTCTTGTCATGGGCGAGAAGGAGAGTGAGACAGAGAACGATCGTCTATTTTTGATCGAGTTTGAGATAGACAACACGAGCTTACAGCTTGATCGATGAGGTCGAGTATCCGTAAGGATCTTCTTCTGCAGATTCACGCTTGCGTTCGCATTCATGCGAATGCTTTCAAAAACTCGGATTCTGAAGTCGACAGAGCCTCGGAAATAGCTGGAAGCGATTGTTTGCTTTCGTCCAGAAGCGAAAATTAGCGACCATTGGGCTTCTGGCTCGAAGCTGGGGAGAGGAATAAGGCTTCACGAGCGTGCAAGATAGCGTTTTCAGCTACCGGGCGTCACAATGGGCAGCGAAAAAAAGAATCGGTTCGAAAATCCAAGCCCCGGGATCCCGCCCCCGTTTCCGGTCCTAACAGTTGGCTTCCGTCGATGTGAAAAAAAGCTAGCACTTCGTTCTGAAAAGTGGAGCGCGTAGGCGACGAGCGTCTAGACGAACCTGCTCGACGCGCGTGAAACTAACACATCCCGTTCACGTGCGGCTCTCGACTCCTGCATGATAGAAAAAAATATGCTACGATACGCTGGATTTAGGTCGCAGAATCGGACGTCAGTTCGCGCGACGAGTCAGGTCATATACATGGTTGTTCCGTGCGGCGTTTTCATGTCTCAGCCAAGGAGCACAGTCGGACATTGGTGTCGTCATAGGGCGACAGCAACGGCGACAACAACAGCGCCAACTTCTGGTAGGTAGCCTAGAAGACCAGTAGTTCCAGAGAGGGGAGAGGTCATTCGACGAGCGACTCGTCTTCTACCAAATTATATCGACCGGACGGTCCAGTCGGAGCCGTCCATGGGAATCCCGGTGGAAAATTCGGTTCGAAAAATTGGTAACATCCTCCCTATCGTTCACGCTTTCAAGAAATCATTCGCGCTCGTGAATAGAGGTTTCAAAAAATTGTACATTCGAATGGTCTTCCTCAGGATCCGGAGAAGTTCGCTTGCCGACGCACCACAGTACTCGATGTATTATACTTTTAGATTGATTCAATGCGGCTCTACAGGCTGGCATCTCCTCGCTTGAAACAACCTGGAAAATGGGCTACCGCGGATCCCGATTCGACTGACCTTGGTTTGAATGAGCTTGGAGGACTCGACACGAGAGACACTGGAGTAGATCCGAGAGGAACGTCGGGTCGATTGCTGCAGTAAATCTCCAAGAGCCCGATCACGGTATCGGTTTAGCAATCGAGACCAGAGAGGATGAGTCGAACTCCTGTAGCGATGAGTAGATTGTGTTCGCGCAAGAATCCTCGTGAGCGAAAGTTTCCCTGATCGTCGAAGACGTGATCGTTCGCGATCAGCAGCACCAAGAGACTCGGGCCCGTGCACCGCGCACCGCTAACTGATCCGCACCAAGAGCAGTGGGAGAGGTATAGTGGAGAGGAGGCGAGATTCTCAACAAGATCCACAACTCCTTCCGACCGCTGAATAGCGAGTCAGAAAATCCGTCTGAACCCAATTAAACGAATCCAAATTATAGAAACGAAACGTTCGAACGCCCCATCGGGGTTTTTGATTAGAGATTAGATGTAAAGCGCGCTAGAACCCGAAGTGTTGGATATATTGGGAATGAGGCGTTTTGTATGTTTGGAACTGACGACAAATTATTATAATATGATTATAACCGGTCGTCTCCCGAAGTCCGGTACGAGCTATCTTGGGTTGGAATGAGACTTGCGTAGCGCCGAAATTCATTTAATGCGTAATTCCTCCACCGACGGCAACGAACAGTCGGACAACAACGACGACAAGCTACAACAGATTGTGAAACCTGACAACAGAACAATCGAAATAACTCTCCGGTCGTCTGATAGGGCAGATTCGAGCAGGAATTCGAGCACAATAGAAAATCTCCCCGTCTGTTGATACTCGATTCTCGTTTGGTCTCGAATCGTTTCTTGTCCTCCTAACCAGCAACAGCAGGTGTCGAAACCGTATGATGGGGCCTCATGGGCACAGGTTGAACGAGAGCACGAGTTCCGTTTGCTGGTTTTCGATACCGCGTCCGCAGTTCCAACCCTAGCCCGAAGAAGTTGAAAACATCTCGCAGAATATGTTGGAGTATGTCCAGCTCGAATTCAGCACGACAAGGGAGTGGGACTGAGTAGATGATATTCGTGGAGTCAGACAAGGACCGCGTCACTGGGGACACGATGAATTCCTCCAGTAATTATCGGGAGATTCCTGAGGAGCGTCGTACCCGCGGAGCTCGATGTGCTTCGCAGCGGGGAAGGTTTTCTCGGGAATTCGGCAACGAAACCGTGTATGCTAATATCGGAAACAAGGGAATATCGTCGCTTCAATTTCCCACATTCCGACAACAATCACGGGAACGAAACTGGGCAAACATAACGCAGCCGGCCGTTTTCGTCCTACCAGGTCGCTGTCCCACAAGAGTGGACGATGACTGCTGCTCGCACGAGCTGGGGGCTCTTCTCGGTGGGTATTCTCTCCGAATGTTCTGTGAAGATTTCATCAGTCACAGACGCGCTGAGCCCCGAAAGGTGGACTAATCTCGAGAAATCTACTCCAACAAGACACGATTCGCGGAGCGACGATATCAGCTGTCTCGGTGGTCTCCCCTCCGAACAAACTCAGCATACAGCATGCCTGAGAAAGGACTTAGCTCTGGGATCTCGGTTCTACACCTGAGTCGGTAGATCGAATTTCATGGGCAGGAACCGGTCTTGGATCATGCGAAAGTGCGTCGGAAACCACCCCAAGTCTCAGCACGCATGGCCCGATTGAGGAAAAGTAGCGACTAGCGACTGAGTTGCCCCGTTCAGTAATCAAGTTCTCTCAGCGTTGACTTCGGTGGAGCAAACAGCAGGCGATGCTCGAAGCGGGCGAACCTTCAAGAACGTTATTGAAGGTACCCCTAATGGCCCGACGGAGCGGCGCCTTCAGTGACTTCGCCCGACGAGTTTCGTGAGTCGCCGAGGCCTTGTTCCTCGGACCGCGGCGATATTCGGCGCGAGTTGACGGCGGCGACGTCGATCAACTCTCTCATTATTATTACACCGCCTCATTAAACGAATCTAGGCACATGGCATCGGGGAAGTAAGACGGGCACCGCATGCGTTCGCGAAAAACTCACATCTTATGTCTCCTCGTAAATTCACGATAACGTGCAATAAACGGGACTGCTGTCAACTCGGCGACCGGGCCTTTCGGGAGGGAAGATGCGAAGAAGTAAGACGACGACATGGGCCGGCTTTGTTTCTTTGAGAGATCGGCTCAAACAACAAAAATCAAGAAATGAAGCGACAAGGTTTTTTTTATGGTCTCTTCACAAGTTGCCACACAGGTCCGCAGCGGAGAGCCGCGACTTTAAAACATGGCATACTGGGTAGAGAATGGGTCCCGGCCCTAGCTTCAAGTTCATTAATTTCGATGACCCATGCATATTGACACTCACCTTTTGCTCCGTCCATCGTCATCTTGCCAAAGAGACACTTTTCTAGAGCAAGCCTGCAAGAAATGAAAGCCTGTGGTCAGCCGGGCGTTCGGAATATTCTCACCGGAATCATGTCGCTGCCGAATCACGAGGATTCGGGCTATTTAATGCACGTCTAGTGGTTTTGGGCCTGGCGGTGGAACTGAGAGGTCGATCCAGAATTTTAATGGTTACATAAACGTACCGAACCACCAACTGTGGAACCTCGCGCATCGCCGAAGCATCCGAAGGAATTCGTCTAGAAAGTTATGATCGTATGCAGATACTCGCGCCAGGGAACGTAATTGAAATTAATGGCCGCAGCACGCATTGAACCCATCGCAATACGAAACCGCATATTTGGGAGTGGTATCTGCGATCGAGTCAAAAACCTCTAAAATTACTCTGTCGAGAAACTCTTTGTGGTTGATTCGCTCCGCAGGTAGGATTTCATGGAGTATTGACCCTAAAGGTTGAGCGGCACCGGCGGCTCAAAAACCCACTCAGTACTAAATATTTACCACGAAATGAATGTTTGGACAAGTGATCCTATTGATCGCTCCTTTCCATCCAACGAAGTAGATCTAGGATGAGACCTTATGACCGAGCGGTAGATATTCGACGGCTCCCGCGTTTAATCCGATCGGATTACGGTGGAATCATTTACCTAATAGTTCATCGGCACTTTTTTCGGTCATCCACGCCATGGGGATGCCCTTCGATAGGGGCCCGCCACCTGTAGGGGGTGGAACAACACAATCTGGGGTTGCTTCGGCTCGCAGAGATATCGCAGCGAACTTCCTCTCTGGAAGGGCCGCTTTCGGGAGAATAGAACCTGCTCGTGGAATTCGATGGAAGCATGAGATGTTGTACCTGGGAAATGAGGGCCTGGGCTTCCACAAATTCCTGTGATCCGAATCCTAATGAGCGAAGGATGGTCCGAGAATCAAACGGAACGAGGCGATTGCCCAGAGCTCGGCTCGTCGGAGGAAATAAATTGCGCCCAGTTTATTTTTCCAAATGCGGCTGCCCGGTGAGGCTTATCAGTTATCACGGAAATCCCTCGATGACCAGTCAGGGAATGAACGCGAGGGCTGGGCGTTTTCACATGGTCGTCCCGAAAACTCCCCGGAATAAGCAAAAGAGCGTGATAATCCATCATTGAAGCGTAAACCATTCCGGGGAACATGCAAACCTTGAATCATATTCCATGCTAAGTCGTCAATCGACGCTAGATGAAAGCCAGCAGTGAATAATTTCAGTTGGTGAAAGATTAAATTACTCGGACGAATGTGAAGCTCGGAAAGATGGGGAGCGTAAACACTGGTGTCGAGCGGCGATGCGGGAGCATTTCCACGAGCCTCGTGATGATCACTACATATTATGTTCTCCCGAAACTGAGCTACCTCTTGGGGGCCAGACTGATCGCGAATTCTCAGCCGAGGTGCTTCAGCGGTTTTTGCCTCCGTGATAGAATGGAATCGAACGGAGAACGCTGAATCGCGGACAAGATTCAGAGTCGGGGAGAGCGGTGGGAGACCTCGGTCAGAAATAAGTTCCCGGCTGATGAGAGTTCGGAAATCCGACGTGACGAGACTGCCACGATCTCCGCATCTCTTAATTCCGATACCGTCGGTCTCCGAATCACTAGGATGATCCTGCGCCTTGGCTCCCTAAGCTCATTCGAGCCGTGCGATCTGTGAGGAGGAACGCTCAACCCCGCAACTGATCTTCGGATTCCGCATAAAGGATCTGTCGATCGAGAACATCGGATTCATTGCTCCACCTAAGGGAAACCCAGAGGCGTACTTAGGGGAGGCGGATTTCTCCGTGAGTCCCATGCGGAGGTGTGGGTCCCTGGGAAGCGCGTCATCTCGAACTCTCGCAATCAGGTCACGGTCATCTTACGCCTAATATTGGGGCGTGCACGAGTATTTTGTGGACCCAACGAAGGAAGTGATTCATCGATTCGGAAGTGCTCGCGACGGGAGGCCTGACTTGAACGATGCATTAGCCCGAACGTGAGCTCATACATGCTCCTAGTTCCATCGATTTCATACGACCTGTCTCGTTTGACCATTTCTCATCTATGATCTATACCAGGGGTTCCCAACCTTTTTTTCTCTCGGGACCCCCTCCGAATCCTGAGACCGACTTCGGGACCCCGTGCGATGAAGTGTCGAAAGTTATACGACAAAATACATATTGGTATGCTTTACGGTTCTCCGCCGTAGGTCACGATTAGCATTTAGTCGAATTTAAGTTACGATCATGTATAAATGCGGATGTCAATGACTTTTCTGCTGCTGTTTCGAATCCACAATCTTGGTGATTCGAAGCTCCGTATTGCTCAAGGCTATCCGTAAGTCCGCATCCGCGTTCAAACGCGACCTGTTCTTGGGCGATTCCAAATCGTTGCCTTCAGATTTCTTCCCTCCGTGCTTGAGAAAAAGGGGTTCGAGCTCCGAAGGCTTCAAACTCGTGTTCGCAAAAACGGTGCTGCAGAGAATGCATTGAGCCTTCGGTAAGAAGTCTTAACCCATCACCAAAGTGAAACCGAATCGTACGTAGTCATCACTCCAGTTCCTCTTCTTCGACATTGTCGCTTCTGTGTTCAGTTCACTCAAAGAGTTTCCAATCGCTCGGTGAGCTGGACAAGAAGCAACACCGGAGACCTTGGAACCACAAAGAGTGAATCGATGACCTTCTTTGGATGAAGCAGCTCTGATAGCAGATCTCGAACTCGAGGATTTCTAATTTATTTGAACGGCTTCCTGGAACTGAGGAACCTTCTCGCGAGGGTGACGGTATTCTTCGAAGGTTTGAGACACTTGTGAACTCGTAAGGTCGCGGGATGCGAAATGCGAAGCGAATGACAGAATAGCTCGAAGGATTCCGAGGTTCGACTTCAAGCAGCTGGATTTTCCCTGACATTGTTCCCGTCAACATCGTTTTAAGCGTCGGAATGAGGGAACGATATTCCGTCGCCTAAGGCTCCCATATCGGCGGCGAGGAGCGGATTCCTCATTGCGCGGTCCATATGCCTTTTCAAATCGCTCAGTTTTGGAGGCTTGACTGACCCAGAAAACAAATCTCGCGGCATGACTGGCAAGGTCTTCTCCCCGGTTGGGAACCCCTGATCTATACGCATGAATTGTCCGAGCGCAGCTCTCATCTGGAGGATGACGCCGCTCATCGATATCCGCGACAAGATCCTTCGGAAGAGGGCTTCTCTATCTGAGTGAGTCGACTCTTCACCCAAGTCTTCTAAGAGGCTGCCCGTCAGTCACAAGTCACAAGGGACGTCAACGGCGTAAACGATGTGGAAGGAAGTCTCCACCATCGCTATACAAGATCCGAATCGATTTCAGAGATCCCAGCCATCCGAACCCCGTTTGCGAAACTTTGTCATCGTCTCAGAGGAGGAATCGCAATGATGAGGGATTTGAGGGTGCTCCAATCGGGAAGTCGCGTGCCTCGTCGGCCCACCCGAGGCAGCTGGTCAGGATTCGTTCCGTCGAGAGCCGCCGCAACGGAACAGGGATGAGAAAGGATAGACGCCGATACACTAGTCGTGCGAGCTCAAGATATCGATGTTCACTCAATGAAGGCCTGAGATGACGATCTTACACCATCTTCTCCCCTCTCGGAGAGCGATCGCCAAGCCAATCGGCCTCCCTAGAGAGTCCTCGGGGAGCACGACGAGAGATATGAAGGGCGCCGCTACCCATGGAGCGCGGAGCCGAAGCTTGCCGGATGGGCTGTCTTGCGGAGCTTTTATTCCGGCGGAGCCACTCCACTTCTTGCTTCGAATTTGGCAGAGGTTGGACTCCGAGAATCAGGTGGTTCGAGGACGGATTCCGGCCATGGCCGAATTTCGTGGAAGACGCTTCTCGGTGGGCTACGAAGACTCGAAGGAAAATTTCCGTCGTAAGAATTCTCCTTGTTGGAAGCGAATCGCCTGTCTCGAAGAAGTTAATCTTATGTCAGGAAATCGACTTTCGGACTGAATGAGGCTCTTCCGAAATCCGATGGAGATCGGCGCGTGGAACAGGTCGCAGTTTTCGGACCCACCGAGACTGCGAATCACGAAGATGCTCCGTAGGCCCGTGGATATCACTTCGCAGCAAAGGATGACTCTCATGGATTCACTGTCTCTGAGGGTACTGCTGTATCTCTTGAGGCTCAATCGAGGGAGCGACCGACGTTCGAGGGAGAGTAAAGTCAGAAAGCTTCAGCACGAGTGTCCGCTTCGATGACCGGCCGATACAGAATTCCGTCCTGGGAAGCGGCCACTACGGATCGGTCAAGCGGAACCCTGGTCTGAGTCATCGTCGTACTCCATACCAAGTCTCCATATCAACTTTTTCCTTCCTCGAGTCCGGACTGAATAATGAAACAACCGGGAAAATATTTCGGGATCCCTCGTGGAACTTCTGGAAGCTCCGCCGGATCCAGCGCACGTCGACCCTCTTATCAAATCGCTACTATCACTCGCTCAGCGAGCTATGTATTTTCTAGTCTTGGAGAAAGTGCAGGTGACGCTCCGACGTCTTCCTCCAGGGATAATGATCGATATGTAGGTGATGAATGTCGACAGGACATAATCCTGAATCAAAGGATTGACCCCGAGCTGACTTACGATGGTCAAATGATGAAGGTTTATCCGCCCCCCGCCGATCACAGAAGTTCATAGTCCGGAGCACACACACCACACACACATACGATCCCCAAAGCACGGAAACTGCACAGACCACCTGAAATAAGACGATCGTCAATTAGTCGAGTTGTGTTGGGAATCTCTCATCGAATCGGAGAATCAGACGTCTTTTCATAAGAGTCCCCGACCATCCTCCTCCTGGGCCCACCGTCAGCTGATACATGAGACACGAGCTCGGTGTTTTGAGGTTCTCCATTCTCCACGACGATTGTCCTCTCGTCACAGAAGCCCCCAATGTCTCGAGAAATCCCGCCAAGTCTCACGGGTACGTTCGAGAGCTGCCGAGCTCAATGGGCCGAGGGGGGCTGACGAAGCTGGCTGAGGTTTCGACGATCGATCTCTAGCGTCTGGGGATGCCTCTGGGAGCCACCTATCAGATTCGCTGCGTTGAATCTGAGTCGATTCCACTGCGGAAACTCGGTATGAGTGCGGCCGTAGATCTGCACATTCCACTCTTCTCGGGGAACTTATGTACTCTCTAGCGCTCACTAGTTATAGACTCACTACACATGCGCTGGCTCCGAGTGCGCGGGCTTCGAGTGCGCTGGCTCCGGGTGCGCTTGCTTTGGGCGCGCGTGCTCTGGGTGCGCATGATGGGAGGACCCATCACATGAGAACGACGTCCCTCATATGACCTTCCTGAAGCTCCCGAGAGCCCGCCCCTGAATTTTCGCGGCGATCGCTTCAGCCGTTTGTGAATTTTGCGAATTTCCGATTTTTCAATATTTTCCGAGTTTCCGTATTTTCGTGGGTGGAGAACTCAAATAATTTTTTTAAGGTAGAAGGCCTCATCGCATCGGAGAACTGACCCTCCTATAACCACCGTTGGATCCCCCAAAACCCACCCCTAAATTTTTGCGGCGATCGGTTCAGCCGTTTTCGAGTCTATAGGTGTTCCAGCCACAGGAAGAACAGCCGAATGATCTGCCGAAAATATTCGCTTGCTCTTCACGTCACTCTCCTGGAATATTCGTTGACTCCCACCAATACGGATGCGAAAACCACTTCGGATTCCGCCCTTTTCCAGACACCGAACCAAGTTACGAGCTCTACTACGTCAAGCGAGAATAGTCGGAGACAAAGATATCAAGAGCTAATCAAGGCACACAGCGGATCTCATTCCCTATTCCGCGATAGAATGAACGGAAAGATAATGATTTCTTTTTACGAGCGAATGTGATCTGTTGTCACCGTTGTCGCTCACGTTCTTATCAATTCTTTTGTTCCTATTACTCATATGCCCCTTTGATCATCTCTACCATGCATCGTCTTGCAGCAATCATGATGGAAGCGAGCGGCGCGGCGTCGGGAGCCCGACGAATCCGCTTTTGTCATCGTCTCTGCCTCCGTCACCGTTTGCGAGACTATCTGCATTCGAGGATTCGGAAGTTTCGAAACGGTCTAGGGTCTGGCTACATCAAGCCCTGTCATCCGCATTGCTTGACTCCGTGGAACTACGGGCAATCGATTTCGGTGGGATTCCTGTTCCAGGATCCCAGTTTAGAGGCGAGCATGCGTAAGCGCTTCCAGGTAAAATCAAAGAGGGATTGAAAGTTTGCCGTTTGAACTCATCAGTTGGAATCATCCGTGTTCTCAGAGTTGAATTCCGCGCCCAGACCGGAGAGATTAGCGCAAGCGTCCCAGGAGGAAGCGGTGTACGACACCATCGTCTTCAACATATGAACGAAAATTGTCCACGCTCATTACCCTTAACTATCGAAGCTGAACACTCGGACAGTTTACACAAAGCGTTATTTTCATCTGGGACGGAATGGTGTACTCTCGAAACCAGCCGAGTTACGAGAATGTGAGAGCGTCCCGAGTTGGGTTCGAACCGAAGACCGCCGGGCCGAGAGCCAAGCGCCGGCGCGCTGCTCTGCCGGAGCCACCCGTCACACCATGCGCTCCCGCCTGTATAGATCCGGATGCTTCCGACAGTTTCCGAGTCTGGATACACCGCGGAGTCCGGTGATAGGGTCCTGTACATCGACGCTTCCACGGTGCTCCTGATGGTCATCCGCGCATGTAACAGGTGCTCTCGCGATGTCATAAACTCCCGGTATCCATGGCGACGACCTTACGATCACCCCGCTCATGACGAATCGAGGGAGGGAGTGGTATGTCCTTCCGTCAAACGTCAGAAAACCTCCATGACCGAGAAAAAACGGACTGTCCCTCGGGAAAAGTCCACGAAGCCGCATTGATGATCGAATTCGTGGAAACTTTGACGAGGTGGGCTCATAATCAAAGCTCATCAGATTTCGTGGCGTGGGAGGCTCTGCTGTCGGATCGGAGAAAAACTTTGGGCGGGAATACGAAGCAATCCGGTCTTGATGATAGGCTGGGTCTTGTTTACGAGACGTCTCTGTTTACTGAATCCACTCCTTAGGGAAAACATATGAGCTTCCGCCGAGGAGCCTTGTTGTTTATATTCGCCGCCGAGTACTCGACGCTAAGCATTCTACAACGAGTGTCATTGAATCAACGCGAATGTCTCTTAACATTTCGCGACAGTCGGCACCGCAAATCAGCTCGTAACATTCTTCACCGTGGCATTGATTTTTCCGTCAAAACGTGGTCTGCGCCGCAGAAAGAGCTGACGGGACCATGATATATCCAACCTGAGACGATTTCTGCTTCTCGAGGATCGATTGCTCTTTCTAGCTGCAATCGTTCTCCACATGAATTTCCAGAGGAGTGACGCGCTGTCAGAACGCTGGTACTCCCGCATCTCGATTTCTGAACCACCGTCGAGCTCGACATTTTTCCATCGGAAACGATTCTCAATGTCAAGCTCTCGACGATTCGGGTTTCGACGAGAGACCGGTGGACAGAATAATCGATCGCGAGGAGCAACAGACACCGAGATATACCGAACATCATCGAGGACCCTCTCGAACTGATTGAGGCGCGAACCTAAGTTTGTGATTCGCGATTCGACGATTAGAACTCACCACAACACTGTTCCGATGTGGCTCTCGGACGAAGACTCGTTCGCACAAACTCTTCCACCGATAAGAGCACGAAACACTACACGATACTAAAACCACTGAGTGAGGCTATCGAAACAAAACTCTGGTCAGCTGCCGCCACCACTCCACCTGTTGGCTAATTGTACTCGACTCTGCAGCTGATGGGTGCTAGAGACGATGATCATCAGGAGAGATGCAGTCGATTCCGCCGCCGCTGTCGCATCCACAACACTCACCGCCGCCACAGAACGACGTCGTCGGGCGGAATGGTCGTTGAGCGCTCAAGCAGACAGTCGTTCAGACGCACCGACCGATGAGCAATACCGCACTCAGGCAGATGGCATTGAATGGGAGGACGACGACGTCCGACCAACATGACAGACAAGAGCGCACCGACGTAAACCGAACCGTAGCGACCTCTGGTGTGCTGTGCACTGCTTACCCACCATGAGGCGCACTATTTTGAATCGTTACCGTGGCAGCGAATTCGACGCCGGGGACGCGGGTAGACTACAGAAATACGTCGCCTGAGAGCTGTATAACTCTCGGATGTCATTGCAAAACGTTGCCGGGGGATCGCCGCGCTGCTCTCATTCATCTCTTCGGATGCGGAGTCGACGCTCACTTCCGAGCCAGAAGCTGAGTCGGTTCAGAATGGCAGTCCGGGAATGAAAACGTCCGGCTCGATCACAGGGCGTCGGATGCGGGATTCAGAATTCGGAGATTCAGTTCGAAATGGAAGGAATCGATTGGGGAAGAGATTTATTCAGAGATCATATACAGGCAACAATAATTCGGAGGCTACCGTCGACTGGCAATAGAAGTTCCCACATGAGTCACATGGTTTTTTGGTTTAGGCAGAGAGCCTAGTCTACTGATGACGACTGGTTTCGCGCCTGGAAGGGAAAATAAGAACAATCGCTGAGCACCGCTCCCGAGTCATGTTCCGCTCTGTTCCAAGACCGTAAGCGTTCCCAGGGTAAATATCCAGTCCCGAAACCCACCCGTCGGCATGGTGACCAAGCCTGGAGCGGCCACACCTCTTGTATTGGAGGCTGCGAGTCCGCCCTGATCCCACTTCGACTTCTTTATGGCTGTTTTCGTAGAGCTCGACTGGTCGGGTTTCTTCCTCTCCTGTAGGGCATACAAAAATAGTTATCGAATTACCGGGTATCGGGTACTGCTCAAAGACGAGCCTCATGAGGCCGAAGGGACTCGTGAGTCATCTGGAATGCTTGGCAATGAGAGATGACTATCGAGTCGGTCGGAGGTCACAGAAATACTGTTGTTTATTGTGACACAAGGCGGCGCTTGGGCTGTGGCGCGTAATCAGAACTGCATTCCTTCCTCGCGCTTCGGGCGGTAGGACTGACCTTCTCCAGTCTATGCATCGCTTCGGTTTGCCTTCGCGAGAGTTCATCGTAATAGTCCTCTTTCCGAAACGCGTGAGGGTCGAAGACTTCGGAGGGGAAATTGCTCCCCAGCTCGTCGACGTCACAATGCACGAGAAGTTTCTCGTAAATCGACGGGTTTCTGAACGTTTTCTTCCGCTGGATTCTCTCAAGATGGTCGTCCCCGATCTTGCTCCTATTGTAGAGCTCTGATATACGTTTCTGTAGCTCATCGTTACATCTCGTCGTCGGCTCGGGGGGAAGCTGTACGGGCGGCCCTCGATCCCGCAAGAGCCGATGGTGGGTCCGGGGGGAATGCGGTCGGGGTTGAGCAGCTCCGACGGGGGGGATTCGGTCTTTCTCGATATCCATTGGCTCGGTGACTAGATCCGGGTGCGCTTCCTCGTCCGAAGCATCGTATTTCTTCACATCGCTGTGATCTCCGTCAGAATCAGGGCCGTCGTAGGCGACCAGGGGCCCCGTGGAGCCGTTCGGAGTAATTTCCACCCGATTATGATTACGGGAGCGGTGCTGTGCCACCGGCGGGGCTTTCAGAGCTCGCCGCATATCTCTCTCGAGCGCGTGCCGCGCTCCATGGCTGACTGATGGAGGTGATTCATCGTCGTCCGAGTCAGTATAGTGCGCGGTGAGCGATGCCAGGCCGGACATTCTGGAAATTCGCGGGAAGACGGGGTTACTTCTGAGTCGACTGCGTCATTGATGGGGCGCGGATTTCGGCGCGGTCACGCCAATAGCCTAGACTATACAGTATACACTTCACTGCAATCACGAGCGATAAATAGAGAGTCCATTGTGGTCGGAGAATGAAGTGAATTCTCGAAGAACACGCTGCGCCGAATTCGCAGCCTCATTCACTCATGGTCAGTGATCAGTATTCACCAATTAGGGAGACTGTGGCCCAAGGGGAGAATCGCGGGACGGGAAAGCTCTCCGAACTCCCCCTCCCTCTCGACAGCATGAACCGAGCACATGAATCTGGGCTCTGGACCTTGGATGGTGGAGCTGGCTGAGCAAGTTACCAATGGTAGGATCGTCACGAGGAACGCTCTGTCAGATACAGTTTCCCGAAGCCCCGTACACTTCAAGACAGAAGTCCCACGGACCGGAGCACGGCACCATCGGTTCATGAATATGGAGGGGAGCAATGAAGTAGCCCACAAAATATAGGAATTACATCCTTGAAAAATATCAGCTTACCTGACTTGCGCATTCCGGACCAATGAGGAGAACGGGAGATAGATCTTTCAGCTTCTCTCTCTCAGGGCACGATGAACGAAGTCGGTCTTCGGCTGTTTTCTCATCGATCGGAGTGGATGTTCAAGATTACATGAATCTCACTCAAACGGGTGATTGTCAATAATGAACAATGATGCACCGCCGGCTGATCAAGCCGTCTGCTCCTGTCAGTAAACAACGGAGATCGGCCTCTCATCCCCTCGGGGAAGGGCTTCAGGCTTCAGACAGACTCAAGACACGACCCGCCGGCGACCGGGAACTCGTTCTATTGGGAGTCATCCCGCACGGTTCGGAGAAGCAACGCTCCTCCAAGCAATCAGTACTCAAGATTCTTTCTAAAACCGAGACAGCCCCATCGTGACGTCTGACGTCGAAAGCAGGGTGATCCGAGGAACCTCCACCGTCCGCGGGGGCCGATCTTGGGGATCTTGCGCTATGGAGACCATACCTATTCTCTGCGAAGAGTCGCGAGAGACGAAGGTATCGCTGTCATCCTGAGCTCCTGGTCATGGCTTGGTATGACAGGGTGTCTCACTCAGGGAGAGGGACCAGATAGCTGATCGTGAGAGATAGGGATCTGGCACATCTCGGTCGCCAGAAATGGGTCGGATCTGTATGACTCTGATAAGATTCTCTGAGTATCGACATAATTTCGCGGTGCGGAAACTCTTGTGATTATTCGCCGTGTATTCCGCGAGAGAAGGCGACATCAGGCGGAGGAGTGAGCTCATGAGGACGGATAGATTCTTTCTCGCTGAGATGGAGGCAATCGGATAATACTCGAACCATAACACCAGCGGCACCGACTTCAGGTTTATCGATGACATTCCCGAACATTAATCGAAGCTCTCAGTTTGCCGATGAGACTACCTTGTCAGCCATGAAACTCGGTCCGCTCGGGAAAATGCCGCCGGAAGGGAAAAAATATCGATCGTTATCAGTTCGAACCCGTTCGAGCCGACTCATGCCGTCTGAATAAGTCTGTCTCGTCTGAGTCTGGCCAATTCTCCTCGCTAGACTCGTTGTCCTATGCAGTAGAAGTCGAGAACATGGGAAAAATGCATTGTGAAGAACAAGCTGCGGAAATGAGGGAGCGCCCGGTGGGCTCAGGTGTATATGGCGATAGACCATGATATCATTGTCCCCCTCTCCCACCGACGACCAGGCCTGGTCGGCAGCAGCATCTTCCTTCAGTTGTGAGGCGATATCGGAGAAGGTCGTGTCGGATTAGCTCCCGTCCCAACATTGCCCGGATCTCAGATTACATCGCAACCCACAACTGGTAAATTTTGACATTCCTCGCCGCTGGTGCACGCCGTTGCGAGGCTTTCTTCGGCCTGTCTGGTCAGAGTTCTCCGGCATTCCTGGATTTGCGATAGGCCCATCGCGTAGGATTCTGGCACCGAACATGTGGACACTTATGACGTTCGAAATTGCGAATGAATCCGACCGCGGAAATTCTCATGCACCGCGGAGCATGTCTGAGTTCGAAGATTGGCGAGCACGAACAAACTTATTGCACGTCCTCGGCATCTGCTTTTCTCAGTATTATCGGCCGGCTTGTTGATGTGCACCGCAGCAGTGAAGCAACTCTGGGTATTCAATGAGAAGACCCGCGCCTAGACTTGGGTCGATCCTGGGAAAATCTCGGACACCAGCGAAAATGAATTTTCTGCAATGAGCCGAGAAAATTCATAGCCTGCGAGAACTCGAAGCATTTTTCAATCGCCCGAATCCACTGCGGAGTAGCCCGCATCCGAGTGTCCTCGATGGGAATGCGCTTTATCGACTAGGGAGCCAAGTTCGTAAGAGGTAAAGATCTCCTTTCAGACCTAGCATGGCCTCTTCGACGGGAGCGAACGGATCGTCGAATCAAGCTAGGGGCTCGGGATCGAGTCCCCAGGATTATGTCGTCCGGATACCGAAGACAACAAAAAGACGATTCCACGTCATGCGATTCCTTCAGAGTCGACAACAGACCGTTTCAGGTTCGCTAGGAAGCAGTCTCCAAGTGCCAGACGGGCTCTGCAATAATTTGCCTACCAACTGGTGTTCACTTCGCTCGTTCCCGACCCGTTAAATTGACGCCCCTTCCCGTTTCAGAATGGACTCAGGTACGAATGGAACGGGAGAACAACATGAAAGAGTACCGAACAGAAACTGATGAGCTCCCAAAACACGGAGCTGGATCTGAATACGGTCGAGACCTGAAGGTGAGCGCAGGGAGGATTGGGCGAAGCTCCTCCGTACTCCTCCCAAGTCGCATCACTCTCTTCATCTGTGTAATTTTCCCTTTTCTTCTCAGGAGGAAGCCCGTCGCAAGAAGTTCGGAATCGTCCGGAAGAAATACAACCCGGACGATCAGCCTTGGATGCTGAATGTTGGTGGAAAACATGGGAAGAAGTTTAAAGGTGTTCGTGAGGGTGGTGTCATGGCCAACGCGTCGTATTACGTTTTTTCAAAAGCGCCTGACGGCATTTTCGAGGCATACCCCGTAGACGAGTGGTACAATTTCACTCCCGTCCAGAGATTCAAGGTAAGCTCGTCCTCGAGCTCGATGGAACCCTTTGTTGACGTATTGCTAAGAGAGATCTCTAGCTCTTGACCCTCTGACCTGAACATTCTGACGTCCGTTCCAGGCCCTGACAGCCGAAGAAGCCGAGGACGCATTCAGCCAGAGAGACAGAATCATCAATCATTTCGCTATCATGATCAATAAGAGGATGGCCGAGGCTCAGGGCCAAACAGTTGAGGAGGAGAAGGAAGAAAAGACCTCTTCAAAGGTGAGTTCCGGATCCGCGCGGGGGAGCCGGGCTACGTAGAGAGCTCGGACTCGGGGCTATTCGGGAAGCCTCGAGCTTTTGATCATCTGCCACTCCCAGTCGAGCCGAACTCACTCAGCTGCTCGTCCTTTCAGAAAAGCCGAGCGAGCCTCCAGATATCGGACATGGACGAATGGGTGGGTGATTCTGATTTCTCGGCGGGGAGTGAGGAAGAGGAAGATACGGAGCGCAAGAAGAAGAAACGTAAGAACGAGAAGAAGAAGGACAAGAAGAACCAGGAAAGCGATTCGTCAGCCAAAGAAGAGTCTGATGAAGGAGACTTCGATGATCGCGAAGTCGATTACATGACCTCCGGCTCGGGTTCCTCCGATGAAGAGCCCGAAGACGCGAAGGCCAACAAACAGTTGAAGGGCGTCGAAGACGAGGACGCACTCCGTCAGCTGGTGCTCTCAGACGAGGAAGAGGAAGACGAAGAGCAAAAGAAAGAGGAAGGGGAGGAGGACAACAAGAATGGTGAGCAGAAGTTCCTCTTTCAATCCCGTGCTGAGCGTCTGCCCTGGCGAGCATTATCGCGTCGGGTCCGCAAGCAATTCGTTCTTATTATTTCCTGAATTTAGGAGAGGACGACAAGAACGCCGCTTCCAAGGACGGCGCGAACAAAGACGAAAAAGAGAAGAAATCGAAGAGTTCGGACGAGAGCTCGTCAGAGAGCTCGGATTCGGATCTGGACGATCAAATTGGAAACAGCGCTTTGTTCATGCAGGTACGAAACGAGAGTTCGCGAGCCCCGTATCATATCCGGCTCGATGCCTCGGGGAAAAGTCAAGCTGAGGAAAAGTAAAGGAAATCCTCGTGAATCGACTCCGAATCCTATGCACATTACAGGGCAAGAAGAAAGACGGTAACGGGTCACGATCTGGAACACCGACGAAGGAAGTTGCGGGCAAGAAAGGCAAGGCGGCCGCCGCGAAACGTAAGAAGGAAAGCACGCCTACCAAAGAAGGTGCCCTCTCGACCGCCGCAGGCACCAGTGCGACGGATACCCCTGCTCCGAAGAAACCCAAGATAGAATTGAATCTCGGGGGCAGCGCGAGCAACATGCCGGCCGGTACCTTAGCAGCTCAGCAGAGCCCACCATTATCGCAGATCGATGGCATCAACGAGGAGTCCATCAGGAGGTAAGTACAGCTATCTCTTTGAGTGTCGCCGGCGATTCCTCCCAACGAGAAATCTCGCGAAAATTAAATCGCTTCGCATACTCATCGCTCCGGCCTATTCCGCGAAATTTCGTCTCCGTCCCGAACGATCCCTCAGCTCCATGTCTGTCCCCAGGTACCTGATGCGAAAACCGATGACGACGACCGAACTTCTGCAAAAGTTCAAATCCAAAAAGACCGGCTTATCGTCACAACAACTCGTCGACATGATCGCACAGATTCTGAAGCGTCTGAACCCCGAGAAGCAGAAGATCAACGAGAAGCTTTACCTTTCGATAAAGCAGTGAATAATATCGCCGACACCTCTGGAAGCGCCATCGCCATTAGTTATCATCCTGGAGCACCTTGAATTTTCCTCCCATGTTCGACCGATCGGAAGAGACGGTTCACGAAGAAGAACCGGAGTTCCTGGGATGCGTAGGAGAAGAGATGACAGTCGCCCGCCGAGTAGAGTGATTCTTTGTAGCAGCAGAGTAATTTCGGTAGGCTCGGCTCGAGGCACTGTCCGGAGAAACTTCGCATCGGAACTCTCAACCTCTGATGGGGGGCACTCCATCAGGAGGCGCGGTAAGACCGCTCGCCACTTATAGGATGCCCCATCTGTTTATAATACTGTATATTGCGTTTTTGATCAACTTCGAATGCGATATAAAGAAGACAGTATTGCTTGGGTAACACCCGTCACGAGGGCTTGATGTCGTGTACTAATAAGTAGTGGCCACAATTACATATATTCCCTCTGCATACTCTCGGTCGGGACGAAAGGGGAAAAAAGTCATCTTATCTTTATTCGTACTTCCAATCTACATACGTGGGAGCTCCGTACCGTCAGAGCTCGTTGAAGCCTGTCCCGGTCCCACTCAGCCCCTTCTCGGCGATCACGAACGTCGGGACGTTTCTGCGCCTCCCGCCACACGGGAGCCAATTTCCATACCAGACTGTCCGTGGGCTTCTCTCCGAAATTGATGAACTTGGTTCTGGGCCCATTAAGAAATTGGAAACGCTAAACATGTCTCATACAGTGAAATATCGTCACAATTTCGAATCAACGAGTCCCGAGGGCGGCTGAGTGATTGCCCAGATGATGAAGAATATCGAGGGAACTTTAAGGAGAAACTAGTCACGGATCGACGGTACCGATTCGGAGATCGACATTTCGGCTCCCTCCAAGCGATTGAACCCGATGAAGGACTGGAAGGAAGCGACGGGAGTCTGCCGAAACCTGAGGCGCCCGGATTTGCTGGCGCCGACCTGATTCATTGAGTGAGACATCCGCACAAAACACCAAGTCGAGTGGCCGGCTCCCCGGACCTGCGCTCGGGCGCTCGACGAGCTCGTCAGCCGTAGTTCATCAGCATCATGAGTCCGCTGTCGAAATGGCATTGGTTCGGAGAGGGTCTGCGGAACGTTCCGAGTTCTTCGTTGTAACGAACAGGGTTTTCAGAACCCAGACCGAATCAGAGGATCCTGTGGTAGAACGTGAACGTTTCGAAAAGCAGCCTGAGAGCGAATCTGCGGCTGATGATGAAGCCGTGTTCCTCGATATGAACTCCTGTACCGCGTCTTTCAATGGTCGGTCTCCCGTCTATGAGCGGCGTGGCCTAGGCCTAGGGGATCGATCGCTCGGTAACGTTTTTCTGTTCTCGGCTACTGGACCCGGGGATGAGATTTTCTTTAACTCTTCCCTCCTGAGATCGTCCCGACTTCCTGTAATGCTCTGCGGAGCTGCATCGAATATTCGCACCTACTTATAATACATAGTTTCCGGTCGCCTTGAAGCAGGCATTTCCAGATTATCTATCGGACTGCCGGCTCTCGGACTCAGCGTGGAAGACTCCGAAATTCGAATACAAGAAAGCCTTTATATCGGGTCCTCGAATATGATGGCGTCGATGAACCTCTTCCATGGAAAACAAGCATTCGATTCCTTAACAAACGGCATTAGCCATGCTTCAAGTCCAGACCTGGCTTCTTCCCGCGGTCTTGATGGGAGACGCACGACGAATTCATGCAACTATCCAGCATTGTGCGTTATAATGAGAGTCCGCGATCTTCGCTCATACAATATGAAGACGTTTCGATATCGGTAACTGTAAATCACGCGTAGAAGCCGTTTCCAGTTCATAGATTCGTTGGATTGCTGGCTCGGTCAGCAGGGGCGGTTTTGTCATCAACCGTGTTTCCGGTGGGAATGTTCATCATGCGGAACATGATGGCCTGCGAGTCGTCGACTATTTGGAGGATCTCAAACTGTTGCCGTTTCAACTCCTTCAGTCTGCAAGGTAGCAATTGAATTTTGAGCCCTTTTGTCAATGACGGCGCTCTTCAGAGAAGGAATTCGCGTCGTTGCGGTCTTACATGAACGCCCTCGCGGAATTCATGATATCATTCAACTGAAGGGAAGGATCAATATTAAGTAGTGGGGTAGGCTCGAGGGAACAATCGTTGACGATGAGCAAACTCACTCGCTGAGAAGCGGATTTGTAGCTGAACGATCCTTATTTTGACAGCGTCCGTCGTTATTATTATGGCTGGCGGCAGACGATTGCGTTTTCAAAAGATCCACGAATTGCCCGACCAGATGATCGAAATCGTCTTCGGTCTGGAATGATTTCGTTTCAGTCTCGCCAACCCGAATTTCCTCCTTAAGTGTTCATGTCAAATCCGAGCAATCTCAATCCGAATTCGCTACCGCGGGCAAGACACTGATGGATTTCCGAAATTCGTTTGCGAATGGTGAAGAAAAAACGGGCTTATGTTTGGGGAGCGATCTTCGGACAAGGGATAAGAATCGAAGGAAATAACCATGACGAATGCCATTTGAATTCAAGCACATCGCTCCGCCGCCCGCCCGGAGCGGGAGCTGACTTGTGCTGAACACGAATCAATGTTCATCTTGGGCGTAGAGCGAACTGATCGACCGCCGTGCTGAAGCCTCCCCCTCCGCCACAGGTGGGAGAAATACAACTTACCTCACTGGCTTGCAAGCACCATTGAGACATATCGCCAAACGAGCCGAGGGCGAGAACGATTTGCTGAGTTTGACGGTGAAGGACCACGGCTTCGCGGTACCAACTTTGAAGTTTTTGAGCAAGTCTCGAGGTGAACAGGACGCTCTGTTCCTGGAGGAGCGCCATGAGCCGAGCACTGATCTGCGCCATCTTATGCCTATGGACGAATAGGACCTATATTATATTGTCCGATCTTCTTCGGAATTCCGGTGTTTCGTCTGATCAATCTGATCCGGCTCGGAAGCTGGATAAACTATGAAGAAGAGGTCTCACTTTTCCAACACGTGGAATTGCTCATCATGGTATGAGAGCGTCTTTGCGACTTTATCGCGAGCAAGGGCCTGCCAGTTTTCTCGAATCTAGAAAGCAAAGAACTTCAATCGGACGACCTTCTCGAGCGCGACGATTCTATCGGTTCTCGAACTTTCCGAGCTTCTTGAAAACGTGATCGATAGTCTCGCTTTCGCTTGCGATAACTCACTTTGTTCACGTAAGTTGCTGCTATTTGATCGCAGCCGGTCAGCGGTGGAATTTCAGCGGTTCGGAGTTTCCAACTTCTCTGCAGTTTCTTACCGTCGAGGATATTCGCTTCCAAAGATTTGACCTCACATCCAACTCTCTCCAAGCTCCCGGACACTGAAACAACACAATCATGGATCGGAAGAGTTTCACTGCTCCTCACCCGCAGGGAACAGATGCCCAGGTATTATAATATCGTCCCCCTTGGAATGAAATCGCAACGTCTGTCTGTCTGTCACCGAGCCTATTTTCGGCGCTTCATTCTTCCCAACAGACTTCAAACTTATTTCATTCGATGCCGAAGAACTTCAGTGAGGTCGACTTTTATATACTTTTGAAGCTGTTTAGAGAGACGGTCGAATAAATGAGAGATTCGACTTACCCGAATAAATGTTCTTCTGCCTCTCGGCGAGTATAGAACGCATCCTGTCGAGGATGAAGCAAGGAGCCGGCACCAGATCCGCCAAGTCTCCCACGTGCTTCTCGCTACGAGCCAGAAGCGAGATCTGTCTCTCTAGAGCTCGGCAGTTGATTTGTGCGATGGTCAGTTGCCTCTTGAGCTTGACGATCTCGTCTTCGAGGTGTGAGCAGAGGTGCAACGGCGCTCGCGTAAGATGAGCGTAGATCCTCGACAGCCGTTCTATTTGCCGTTTGATCGCATGGCTAACACTACACCAACTCTTGGCGGTAGCCGCATCTTCGTCGAGAGCTACGGCCGGGTTGAAATCTGGATATTTGAACGGACCGTGGGACCCGAACTCGAGGGTTGACGTGAGACCGATTCCCACGTCGCGATTTTCGGTGTTGAACAGAAAAACCGGATTTATTACGGTCGTCTCGGGCACCACAGCGTTATCGTTGGCGTATTGTTCTAACGGCTGCTGCTCGAAGAAAAGTAGTTGGTTCTTCGAGAGAACACCACTCTGTCGGAGCACGTGTTCCGTGACGTCGGCCAGACTGCCTGCGGTGCTTTTGCCGGCGGCGTTCAGTATGTACAGAATGTATTCCTTGCAGTCGTTCACGTGGAAGACGTGGATGCGTTTCGCGGCGAGTATCTTCGTAGTTTCGTTGAAGAAGCGTTCGAACGACCACATCTTACCGCTGTCGCACTCCATCAGACCTGCCAGAACGGGAACGAGGGATTTGCGCAACCCCGAGCTCAGCAGACAACTCTTCGGTAGATCTCGCGACCACTCGATCGACGATGTCGTGTGGTCGCGTTGAACTCCTGAAATAACGCCCGAGTCCTTCTTTGTCGTGATATAATGCATCACTTCCCGATTTCGTCGTCCACCGTAGGGTCTGAACGGAAGGTTTCCGGTAGCTACGTGGTACAGCGTGACGCCTATGCTCCATAGGTCCACGTTCGAGCTGAAGCGTTGGTCGCCGTGCTTTCGTAGAACAGCTCGTTCGTACATCGCCGGGTGCTTTGGGAGGAGAGAGAGGTCTATGTGAATCGTAGTTCGACGGGAGTTTCAGTCAGAGTTGGTTCAGAGTCCGGAGGGGAATCGCGAGTGATAACTCACCAGATATTCTTCTGTTCCGTACAGCGACATAAACTGTTGGTCGTCTTCGAGTTCCCGAGCCGCGCCGAAGTCGGTCAGCTTGTATATCGATCGTCCGTTCTCAGCGACGTATTTCATGATGTTCCCCGGCTTCAGGTCCCGGTGAATAATGTTGTTGTCCCTCAGATGTTTCATTCCGGCCGTCAAATCCTTCAACACTAACAGAAACTCATCTTCTTCGAGACCGTACGAGTTCATCGGATCGTCCAAAATTGAGAACAGCGATCCGCCCGTGCAGAGCTCCATTACAAGAATCTGGAATCATGGGGAGGTCTCCAGCTGTAGTCGGCTGGAGTTCGGCATCCACTCGACCCTCTCATTTCTTTTCTGATTTCCGAGGCGAAATAATCTGACGAATGACTCATGGGGAACGGTGGGGGATCGTCACCTTTGAAGCGCTCTCGAGTTCCTCCTCGATCGCGATGAGTTTGACGATGTTCTCATGATTGACTTTCTTCAGCACATCGAACTCCCTCATCTGGACGTTGAGAGGACGATCCAGAGAAACTTTGTTGAAGGTTTTGACGGCAACCAAGTCACCTGTTTTCTGTGGATTCAGGTTCGGGAGGATTAATGGTTTTCGACGTAGATCACCGTGGGCATCCGCGAATTGTCCGTAGACGAGCCTCACCTTATTCACCCCTTGGTATACAGTGGCTGTGGCACCTCGCCCGAGTATGCACCCTGTACTCCACACATAGCTCGCGGAGCCTCGCAGGTACGTCATGCCTCGAGACCCTGGAAAATCGGGACGGATCAGGTGAGCCAGAAAGAAATCATCAACTCCTCTCGCACGATGATCGGAGCTCGTAACCTCATCGGAGCTACGCTATCGAAGAGTCGGATATGAGGGAAGACAATGTCGCAGAGGACCGGTGCTCCGAAGCTAAAGGATCATATTTTTGAATACGAGCGGAGATTTCCCCTGTCTCTAGCCCACCTGATCCTGGTAGTTCATGGTTGGGGATATCGGCGACGAGGGCTCAAAATTGTCGCAAGGGAGAAACCAGATCATTGGGCCCTATTCATGACGGGCAGAGGCTCTCCTTCCTCACCGATATTTTACAATACATTGTGATGCATTGAATGAGTTTTCGAAGCGCACCGCCAATCGGCATGGATAGAACAATGATCGCTCTAATTCATAGCTTCGGGGGGCTAGCGGAGAGGATGACAAAAGATGTTGGGATGATGGCATTGCGACCACTCGGGAAATTCCGCATGAAAGCTTCGCGTGACAAGCTTTCGTTGCGGAAAACGCTCGCTTCGTCCCAGGAGATATTGTTTCAGAGGGAAAGTTCTGATTCAAGAAGCAGGTCCGATGCTTGAGTCTCCAGTCGATTTCCAGATCTTACACTCTTGATTGCTCATATGTTCAACCGATTTGTGGATCTTCCAAATGATCGATTGGATGATTTCGGAGCGGATTATCTCTTCGCTTCCGTTTTCGCACCAGAGCTGATGATTTCCCCCTGCGGCAATAGAGCGAGAAGAGGAGCGTCGGAGCCCCAACCGTTCTTCCGGCGGAAATCGGATCTCCGCTTTGATGGTGGGGAAATTGCCCTTTTTTCAGCTTATGGCCCTTATGACGTCAAGATCGAGAGGCGGACGACTTCTCTATATTAGGAGTTCCAGCCGGAGATCGCGCTGTGGATTCGATGAGTCTCTCAGGAGTCGATGATGGGGGAACAGCCTCACATTGAGGAGCTCTTCGAATTCAAGAAGCTCGCTAGACCCTGAATTCCTGCTCTCTGCCCTAGGGTCTGGAGCCAGTCTTTCTTTGGAAAAATATCGATCGCGCAAACTTCATCGGAGGCGATCTTACTCCCGTTTCCCGCCCAAGGCGGAAAAGATGCATCGGGCACCGCCGTAGGAAGTGAAATTAGAAATTACACAGCGAAGGATAATTTACAAACAACATGCAGATCCGGCTGCTGGCGACCGCGTGATCCTGAAAATCCGATCACGGCTGCCCGAGAGAACATTGGTGTTGGAGGAGATTCCTCAAGCCACAACCAAGAAAAGACCAGAGCTACAACCAGAGCCAGGATTCCCGACGATAGGACGACAGGACGATAAAGGCGAGATTTCAGCCGTGTGCTATCGCCTCCGGATAGCCCTTGAAACCCGAGCTTCGGCTATTCGCCGAATTCGAGGAGCCCATGAGGCGGGAGTCTCGAACTATTCTTCTCCAATCTACTCGACTGCACGATATCAGGGTTGACTTTGCAGCATCACGATGGGGGAGATGGGTAAAATATCCACAGGAAGGGTCGTTCGTAGAACAATGATCAGAACGTAGGCGATGGCGTCGTACATTCCTTCTCCCGAAGCTATGCCAGGTTGCATAGGGTCGACAGCAGCTGATTCCGCAAGGTCTACCCATAAAAGAGCCTAGCTCCAGTCCCCCCGAGAATTCGCTCGCTCCATGCCCTCGAAGTTTGTTCCGATGATTTTAGGGCATCATGAAAAGACAATCTAATCCGTCAGCAGAGATTAGTGTACCCTTCGCTTGAATGACGAGGAAGGGATAGAGAGTGCGAATTCTGATCACTTTCCACGAAGTATACCCCTTGCCTGATTTTCCGGCAGATCGTCTTACCTTGTTTTTTCCTGCTGTACATCCTCTTCGGCTGTACCGGTTGGTCATTCTCCAGTCCGAAAAGTCGAGTCCAAACACAGCGTCTTTTCAACGTCCTTAACGACAGGCTGAGTATCGTCCAGGAGCATGGCTTGAACACTGGAAGAGGATCCCTTCTGCCGTGATACGGTGGGTATTCCCGAGAGCCGCACTCCGATCGGTCTTCCTGTCACGACAGCTGATATTACAATGATGGCAGGTATTCCGTCGACGTTTAGGAACACAGCGAAACACAATCACAATGAGGTGACACAGTACTTCGCGCCACGCTCTGAACGACGAAATTGATGGTGGAGGTGAAGAAAAGAAAAAGCGGGCAGAACTCGTCACCGTAAATCCACTGAATGAGCGAGGCGCTTTCCGGACCGCCCTGGGTTTTCGGCTTGGATGCCGCGCTACTGAAGATGAGCCGAAGACGACGAGTTTGTCCGTCTTTCTGCGGCTCTGATTACTCCGCAGGCACAACGATCCATGGGACTGTGTGTTCACAGACGAGCAACGGCCGGCACAACAACTTCTTAGTTCTTGAATGTCTGTGTTTCGCGAAGTGGAGGAGTAACTGCTCGCAATAGTTCCGCCGCCGCCGCCGCCGCTCTTGCTGTTGGTGGTGGTGGTGGCAAGAAGGTAAAAAGAAGTACAAGTCGGAGAAAACTAAGACGAAGATCCACGCGGCCCAAACGGCCAGCAGAGCGTGAATCGCGTCCGGCGGCGGTGCCAGGGAAAACTTCAGACTACTGTGAAGAGTCTTAGCCTTCAGTGGCTGTTTCAGTTCACTCAGGCTCTCTTGTTCGCTCACTTGCGTGCTTGCTCACTCACCAGTTAGCTGGCCGCTGCAGAATTTAATCAGACGTCGACAGCCAAGGCAGGATCACACATTAGCAGCGATTCCCGACAATAACATTTCTGAGGTGACCGAAGAGCCAAACGACGGCCGCAAAGCCGATCTTTTTTTATGATGCGACAAGGTTTCGATCGCTGAAACGTGAACGATCCCGGTATGAGTTCGCTTCATTCCGATCTTCTCTTCGCGAAAGCGCCGAGGCGAAGCAGTTCAACGAGCGTACTCAACAACGGTTGCTCAATAACAGCAACGACGCGGACGACGACCGCAGCGGCGACTGCGACAACCGCCGGAATCCGCTTGGGAGACTCCGATACCAAGGAAGTGAGACACCGCCGATCTAGAAGTCCGCTGCCGACAACCCCTCTGTCGTTGCTGTTGTCGTGGGGGCTTTCAGCTCCTCGGCCCTGTCAGCTTTCCAGGATCCGTTAGATCCCCAGTCTGACTGACGGACGAACGGCTGGCTGGCTGGGCAAAACTTACGTTGCGCTAATCCGAAGTCAAGCGAAACGAAAGGCGGGCGCTTGGTTACGAGTTACGATTCAACACCGATATAAGTTCACTTTCGCTTCAAAAATATACAATTGCTGACAGCGACCGCTATGACAATGCCGGCCACGAATGCGAAATGAAATCCAGTGGGGCAATGGATCGCTTGAAGAACGAAGATGAAAGTCCGGGTTTGCAGCCCGGTTCTTATTCTCGGGTTCCGTCCTTCGATTCCGAAGAGTTGCTAGATCAGAGTCCTCGACCGACGGAAGCCTAAGTGCTTCGAGCTCACCTTCCCGAACTGAAAACCATCCTGGTCGAGTCACTCAAGTCCCTTCGTCACAACGGTTAAACTGACGGCATCAGGCACCGTCCCTAGGAACGCGAGTTCGGAATTCGGACATTTGGAAATCACTCGAAGCTTCGAGATCACCCCTTTTCCGCGAAATCGAGTTTCATTCTGCTGTTGGTGCTTCACGATCACTGGAAGCTTGCGCCGGATTGGAATGAAACGATCGGATTTTTCCGATTCCGCTTCATCGTCTTCATTGACTTCACGTGAATTCGCACTTGGACAAAAAACATGCACTAACGGAACGTTCTAGTCTCATGCTTGTTTCATTTTACGACTTCACAGCAGATTATCCGCGATCCTCCACAGCGACCGACCGGAGCTCAAACAGCGACGGGCTTTGTTCTGTTCAGATAAGAAAGCTTCCAAGTAGAAAGGTCCCCCGCTAATTCATGTCAGGAATCTTCGAGCGGAAACCCGAGGATCGGGACAAGTCTTGACTGGGATGCAACAGCATCGGATACCATTCAGATGAGAACTTCCATTTGTGTCCACTTAGGGAACGAACGCCATAGAAAATCCACTCTCCCGTCAGGGTTCTACCCGGACATGGGGCAGCGCTCGCTGTTTTTGAAGTCAACGAAACTCCTCAGAGCCGAACGGACGAAATCAAAGTTTCTGAATTCAATGCGAAATATAAATGATGAGTCGGACGGACTTTCACTTTCGGCAGCCTTGACTTGACGACCCTCAACTACAAAGCCAAACAGCTCGAATGGAATAACGCTCCGTCATCGAATCCGTGGACGGACGCGAGACTTGATTCTGATGGCTCCGATTCGATGGGCTTGATTACGAATGATTGAGCCATGACTCCGGATCTATGGATCTGTGGCTTCTCCAAAACTCAGAAAGGAGTCGGACTACTCGCTTCGATGACATCGAAAAGATTGAGACGAAACTCGCTTCGAGAGCTACCTACCGAGTCAAGGCGGCCTAGGGCTCAGGGTCCGCCTAATTTGATGGGGAGGCTTTCCTGATAGACCTGTGGCGGAAATTTCTTATGATCTTGAATCTTTATGGAGTACATGAGAAACTGACCATGAAGATTGCAATCCAGAACAGAGGGGTCTATCCATCCAGCTGACTGAGCATCGACTCCTTAGTACTCTGTTTGTCCTGAATCTCCATGGAGATCGAGCGGGCTTCCCGCCCGCTCTCCGTCGAGCTATCCGCAGCCACCGTGTCGGCGTAACATAAGGATGCCCATGCGATCACTCCGAAACTCTCCGAAGTTTTTTCGGGCGGGCGACCTTTCTCCTCAATTTCTCGGCTTTCCTTCCGAAGCCACGACTTTTCTCATGGGCCCAACGCGCAACTTCTCGGAGAGGACTGAAACACTGCACACTGATGAAGAAGGGGGATTCTCAGTACTGATGTCATGGGACTCATCCACCTGGTCGAGACCTGTCGAGAGACCCACCCTAGGATCGAAATCACTCACCATCGAATAGAATTCTCCGTTTTCGCTGCGGAGGATGATCTCGCTTCTTCGCGAGGGCATCTTGTCACGGTCGGCAAGGAACGTCAACGAATGCCAATGTGATCGAACGACGTATATGCGATTGCGGAAAGCCGCGTGTCTTACGCCATCGCGCACCAGTCATCGCCCAGCACGTCGAGTCCTCATCATAGCCCCTCTCGCAGTGGAGCCGCGGCGAGATGTCGTTTCGGGAGACAGAGGTTTACAAAGCAGTCGCCTTTCAGGGTCTCGGACCGAGCTCGGTCAGAAAGCTCGATAAGGCTTGCAATGCCTCTCTCTTCGAGTTGGTCAGGACCGCAATGAATCATGGACAATGAGCGGGGCTGGGAAGTTGGCGCGACCGCAGCAAAAGCCGTGAATTTTCATTGTATTTTCAGGCGATCCTCTATAGGAAGTCAATGGAAGCTGGAAATTGCCGTGAATTTTCGAGGAGAACGCCGTGAATGATTCCCAGCCTTAACAATGAGATATATCGAAAGAGGGACCGAAACCTTTCTCAGGCCAATTAGAATCACGTTTCCCGCGACGAACTCAGAGATCGAGCTCCCAGAAGGTCTTTCCCATGTTTCAATTTGATCGCAGATCTTGGAATTTTGGGATTCAAACTTCACAGTTGCGGGATGCAGAGGTCGTCTGCCCCCATCAAGGCGGGTCGTCATCTGCGGGCGTTGGGTCGGGAACCGCGACTCGAATGAATACCCACTTATCACGTGTAAATCGCTCCTACTTTTCGCTCCTCATCCATACCGCTTCCCTAGTTTTCCTCCGAAGATTGCCAGCACCCTTCATCCATAGTTGAAGGTGAGGGATTGCATCGAGATAATTGGCGAATCATCGAGACTGCGAACGACTCGCCGTCATCCGCGGAAGCAGGTGCCGGATGCATCTCCGAACTCAGTCGTCAGACATGAGTCACAAGTTTCGAAATGCGTGGCTGAAGGCTCCTGCAACGCACCGTAATCATGAGGGCTTCCGGTCTTGAGCCATGAGCACTTGCCCTGGAGCGCATTTGAACGAAAGCTCACAGAAATCACCGTGATTTTGATTGGATTGTTCCATCATCTTTTTCAGTTTTTCTCTCATGATTCCGGACGAAAGAGTCGGAAAGGCCCTGCCTCGTCGAAGCATTTTGAGAGCACGTGAGACCTGCTTCCTTCAACAATTCTTCGAGGAATTCCCTCGGAATCTTCCTCCCTAGGCCCCATAATCCCCGCTCGTGGACTCCAAAACGAGGTGACGAGAATAATAATTGTCAACCCTGCGATCCTGTCAATTGTTGACCTTTCTTACCGGCTGGTCCCTCTCTTTACTGCCGATCACACCTGCGAGGACGGCACAACGCCCCGAATCATGTCTCGCGATGCTCTCAGTGTGAGAGGATCCTCTCCCAGTATCCAAAGCCGGTTGATTGCTCGCCTGCTCATCTCAGAAATCACATACCACGGAAATCATAAAGAAATAGAAGTTAGATATCGGCTACCAGGACCGCTCGGTGGCGTATCGAGGGGAGGGGGGCAAAGGGGCCGTGGAAAAAAAGGAGGCGACTGACCCGAGCTCTCAATCAGTCTCGAGCCTCCTCTGGTTCCAGGCTGATCCTCCAGATCAGATTCCTCGCTTACTCGATATGTTGTGACCTCATCCGTCCAGTTTAGGCAGAAGAACCTGGGAGCTCGAGCTCTCTCTGAAGCGTCAATTATTCCGAATGGTGGTGAACGTGGACGATCTCCTCGACCAACGTTGGTCGAGTCTTGAATGCCGGAATGCTGCCGGATTCTAGCGGCGATACAATGATGTTTTTAAAATGTCGTCCCACAATAA